TTGTTAGAGTGGTTAATATAGATCATTAAAAAAAAACACTCAGTATAATGTGTGGTTGCATTACTAGGCTTTATTATATATATATATATATATCAGCTATTCAGATATATTCAGAAATATATATTGCAGGAAAATGTGTCTAAAAACATTTCATTTTTGTAATTCTGTTTGGCTGAGCAAATGTTTAATGAAATACAGAGTTCTCTAAAGAGTTCACTAAATTCTCTTAAATTATTATCATATACATTCCGAGGAGTTCTGTCTAATTAGGTTTCCTTTTCTGTCCAACTGCTTAATTTGCCAGATGGTCTCAGATTTCAAAGCCACATCTTAATTCTTTGTCACCTATCATGCAGTGTCATTTTTAATAAACAGCTAGGATTTAGCAAATTAACCTTTTTTTTTATTTTAATTAAATAATACACCAGCTGTTAATCCTGACATTTACACCACATAATGAACAAACTGTGTAGTTCCTATTTATTAGCATTATTGTAATGGTATTTTTTACCTTAAATGGGGTCTAGACATTCAGGAGTGCAGAAACTATCTGAAAAGTTGAGGTAACACATTGTAAATCTTGTCATCATGAATATTAATGTAACAGTATAAATGTATTATAGTATTAATGTAATGTAATGCAACACCTTTGCTGAAAGGGATGTAAGCAAGCATTAGCACTATGGTCTCTAAAACGGTTCAGCCCACTTTTAACACTATTGTTTGGTTTTAAAGCAAGCTGCATTTTTTTCCTTTCTCTTGCTGCCAAACAAAACTAAAAATTATCTCCCAAATTGGAAAATGACCCGAAACAGATTCACCCGCATACAGGCACCACTGTGCGATGTGCCAAAGCATGTGCGCTGCCCGCTAGGCATTAGTTTCTTCTGGCAGTAACACGTACGGACATTTTCATATACCAATCCACCTAGCTCCTACTGCGCCATGCTGATATTTTTTTTTCGATTTTAAATTGTTAAACACCTCAGGAAGCAAAAAAAGAATCCATTATTATTTCGAGTTTTAATGTAAGCTTATACATTAGTCTCTGGAGTAGTAGAGCTCTGTTCTCTCCTCTGTACCTGGGTCGGTATGAACACTGGTGTTATATCACACACACACGGCCCACACAGTAAAAACCTGTTCATGCCGCCCACAGGTGCTGAGCTGTGCTTACACATAGGAAAGTGTAACGTGAGCTTCGTGCGGCGCACCGCAGGGCATAACAAAAGAGCCAAATTAATGATTAAGATCAATCATTGTGAAAGCTCCCTCACAGAGTGAATATTCCAGCTCTCAGCCGCATGGATTGCTGATAGCTGTTGTTTGTTTGTGGAAAGTTGTGTGTATGTGTGTGCTGTTAGCTTGCAGGCTCTGTCTCTGACCCATGAGGCTTTGCTATAGAGGATATGTGCATTCATCAATGAAACTCCTCTCCTCTTTGATTCTTTGATGTTTTTCAGGGTCTTTCCTGTTATGCAGTACATTTGGAACTGTGGGTATAACAGACTTTCAGAAGTCTGTTCTGGTTATGCTCAAAAACTTTCAAGTGTTGAGTATTTACACGATTAATAGGAAGGATGCCTAAAGAGATGGGAATAAAGTGGGAATAAGTTCATCTTGATTTATAAATAGCCTATCTTAACAATTTCTCAGATTTTATCAGGAAGGGTGAAATATTTTAAAGTGAGACGAACCAGCTAAATCCACAAAACATCAGCAAATTCATCCAATTTCTAATAGAGAGCTGCAGGGATGACGTATTTTTGTTGGCCAAAACATGGAAAGGAGTTCACATTTTAGCATTTCTGGTTCAGTCGTATTAAAGTCAATGTTATTTTTTAAATGGGTATTTGGTTAAATGCCTGATATATGGTCTGTGGTCAACACAAGCTCAAGATAGTTTCATGTTTTATTCTATGACATCAATAAGTCCCCCCCCCCCATTGGGATTTTTAAAAAAGTGTTCATGTGTCTTGAAAAGATGGTTGCTAACAAGTGGCTAAATGCAACTACAGAGGTGAACAGACTAAACAGGCGAACTTATCTATTAACTAGTCTGCTTTTACAGCCTCTTGAAAACTATTCTAACTCTGACATTTAGTGAAATGCTTTTTAAAATAAAGACTGTAAGAGTTGGCGGAAGCTTAGTGTTGGTGACGGTGACCATGGTGTAGTTTGTTTATAGTCTACATTTCATTTTTTTATTCTTGGTGATTGGCTTCAAAATTCATAAAAATTGTGTTCACTTGTTAAGATTATTATAATGAATAAAACATGCATGTATCATAAACTTTTGTCTGTCTCAGAGCTTTTTTGCAATAATCTAATCCAGTGGAAAATCCTATTGTCTTTTTGTTGAGGGAACCAGGGTGATGCTAACTTCCAGACTGGCCTTGCAGTGCTCTATACTTAGTGACGCTAATGCTGGTTTTCCTTCCAAAATGATGTCACTTCCTGTCATCAAGGAACCGGTTTATGTTTGTTAAGGGATTTTACTAACTGGATGGAAAGTGATATTGCGCACTCAGAACTCCAAACAAGAAGCCAATATTCTCAAGAAAACATATTTATTAGTAAAGGAACAAATGAAGAAACATTGGAATATTTCTTAATAAATTGCCTGTTTTTCTAGCAACTAGAGAATATGCTTTTCATCTTTAGACATGATGGGGACATGAAAATGTACAGCATAGTCAGAATGACCCTGGTCTCCTCTGGCCGGTTCTGCTGGGGGTGCTGCCCATGGGAGCTCAACCGTGAGCTGTTCTTCCTTTAGAGATGAATGATGATTGGCTCTGACGTCCCATGTGTTACTGCGTCCCCATAAATCACACCATGACTGGGATTTGGCTGTAGGGTGGAAAGGCGGAGCGAGTAGAACGAGAGAGAAGAAGTATGTGCGATTTGAAAAGAAGGTGACCTGTTGAATCGGAATTAGAAATCTGAAGACCCCACAACACACACACACATTAAAACTTATGCCACCCACTGACTGTTGATAGATTCGTTTTTGGACACTTTATTCACTAATTTCCCTCTCTCTTTGATTATAGGTTATATTAGACTGTTTTTTTTTCATGCAGCCTGTCCACACATCTGTACACCCACTCTCAAAATTACCCACCTCCTTCAAAAGTCCTTGAGAGAGATGTCACTGCTCACATGATCTCGTTCTTTATTGAAAAGGAAGAATAAAAAGCTTTATCATGAATATATTGATTTCCTGCTAGCCAGAGAAATCTTTGATATAAATTCATATTGATTTTTTAAATACAATACCTGCTCTTTATTTATTAAACCCATTTTGTTGGCAGCTTGTATGCATAATTAAATGCGCACATGTATGTGTTATTATTGGAGTCTGCTTCTCAAACAACACTGCAAGCATGTTTGGTTCAGCCCTCATCATCATCTGAGGCCATTTCCTGTGAGCTGTGCCGAAAGATATTACTCAACTTTACCTCCGAGGCATAATGACTTGTAATTGTCCTCTCGCAGGTCATCCGTCTTCCGTAGCTCATAGATATTACCGCTTACGGCCTCCGGTTCAGTCATACGATGATGCCAGCCGCTGTAACCCCATCCGTCTGATCTATTATTTCAGTGTCCCGTGCTCCTTTGTGCCAAAAACTCAACAGGAGCACAAAACCATTTACGACAGTATCCCAAGTTCCCTTCTGAAAGGGGTCTGACCCTGCAGCTATTGTGTGGTTAAGGTTAAGAGATATTTTTATTTACAAGAGCATTTTATGAAGTACATATTGAGGTAAATTGCCCCATTTTGGATGCTTTGAATTAGATTTGCAATGCTTTAGGCCTTGAACCAGTCACTTCTCAGTATGTGCAGCTCTCAGTTTGTATAGAATGCAAGTCATAGGTCACATTCACTGTCAGAAATAATGTTCAAAAGTTGTACCTTTACAGCTACAACATCTGGGGCAGCACTCTTGAAAAGGATATTAGTACCATAGAGTACTCATACTGTATGTACCCTTAAAGGGATAGTTAACTCAATAATGAAAAATTCAGTCCCCATTTATGCACCTTTAAGTTGTTCCAAACCTGTATGAGTTTTTTTATTCTGTTGAACACAAAAGAAGATATTCTGAAGAATGCTAATATACAAACAGTTGATCATCAACTGTTTTGATATTAGCATTCTTCAGAATATCTTCTTTTGTGTTCAACAGAAGAAAGAAACTCATTTTGGGTGAACTGTCCCTTTAAGGGACTACTTATGAACCTTTTAGGGGTACAAGGTTTTCCTTTTATGGGTACTGCCTCAGTGACAAGATGTTGTACCCCTAAAAGAAATGCCAAATTTTTTACTTTTTTCAGACAGTATTGGTTTTAGTACTTAATCCCACATATAATACTTAGATATAATAAAAGAACAATTGGTTCCACAGGAATGAGCTTTTGTAGAATTGTTGCATTCAGTTGTATAAATGTTTAATTGTGTAAGGTGTTGTCCTGAAACACAACAACAATTGTGACCAACAAAATCCCTATCAAAAGGGCCTTGCAAAGGCTTGGGCCAATACTTTAGCCATGATTTTCTAACCTTGCCAAACAACCATTTTCATATGGATGATTTATATTCAAAGCATTCCTATAGCTCAACACCAAGGTCATGGGTTTGAATCCCAGGGAATGCTTGGACTGATAGGAATGCGTATACCTTGAATGCACTTGCAAGTGGCTTTGGATAAACATACATATTATTTAGCACAAACATCTGAGACAAAGTAGATAATTAAGTGAAACATAGCTAAGAACCCCACTAAGTCCCCAGAACTATCAGAGAGCAGCTTCTGAGCAATTTCTTCTGGAGCCGTGATGCTCATTTAGGAGATGCAGCTTTGAATCCCACTCACTCCCACATTACTTTCACGTTCCTTTTCCACTGTTCTGTCAATATAAACTGGCAAACGGACAACAATAAAGAAGTGGTTGTGTAAAGAGTGTAATAAGAGTGTTTGTCTTTATGTTTACAGCAGTTCTGTCTGGGACACACCAGAGTCTTCACCTTCTTCCTGCGATCGTCCAGCTGCTCTGCACCATCTGTCTGACATTCCTCCTCAGATGATACAGATACCCCTCAGCACACACACCGCCAGCGTAGGACACCCCCCGCGGCAGCAATAAGAACTGCCCCAACACGTGACCACCCTTCCTGCTACTGCCTCCTTCATTTCCTCCTGTTTCTCATTCCCTTTGTCCTAGCTTCACACCTCAAGTCTACTTTTTCTTTGGTTTTTCATCGTCTTTGTGGTCACTTGTTGAGCTTATGTCTGCTAAGTGGCACCTTTATGTTTTATATAAGCATAACTTCCATTGATTTTGTGCATTTCTGTCCATATGTCTTGACATCTTCATCTCAGTCGCCCCTGTGTATGAATCTGACACACCAAAGTGTCAATTATTACCAAAGATGACGGAGGGCTTACAGGATGAACAGACGGCTGAAAGAGCAACAAGAACGTCCTTTCCCCAAATGAACTCTTTCCACAGACTCAAGTGCAAGGAGATGTGATTTCCTTAAGACATTATGATTGCAAGGAATAGTGTGAGCCAGAACGGATGAGTGAAACAGGTGGTCACGAAGCTACTGATGACCTGAATGGACCTGTACATGCACGTGTACATGATATATTGGAAAGTATCAAGCTGCAGAAAGGACAAACAGACTCCAACTGTAACTTCTAGGACTATGACAATGTGAAACTAAAGAAGCACAAATTTATATATTTTTTTTGTAGTTATTTCGGTTCCTTTACGTGGTATTCCGTCAGTCTGGGTTTGCTGTACACTTCTTGTCCTTTGGCTTTCTTTAGCAGAAACCGCGTGCCACTGCTGCATTGCCATTCAGTTCGTTACGGGGTAGAATTCGATTCCGAAAACGACACAATGTGAACTTTGCACCAGAAGAGCATCAGTTACCTCACCCTCAATCTACAAGAACCATAAAGCACCTGGACAACTTATGAGAACGATCACTTTTAGCTTCAGTCAAACTGCTGGGAGAGTGTTGACTCACTGGGTCAGTCGGTCTCGTTCAGCAATAGAACCGTACCTCTGACTGCAAGGGATATGATTTGGGCACACAGACTCCAACAGATGGACGCCTCTGGACAGACAAACTCCACTCTTGGCTTTGATGATCAAGAATGTCATTTTGCATAGTGTTAGAGAAATCGCATGTACGTGCAAGCTCTTCGAGGCTTTGCCATTGACAAACTTCAGATGTATTTTATTTGGGAAGTTTTGAGATGGCAAGGAAACAGTGTTGATGTGACAAGTTGATCTAAAAGACACAATGTTCATCCTATAATAATGCTGCATTCCATTTACATCGGAAAGTTGGACTTTCTAGCTTCTTACTTGGAAAACTGCAATGCCACTTGAAGTCGCTTGAGACTGAAAACCTGTTGAAATCCACAACTTTTGGTGAGATGGTGGCATCCAGTAAGATGCACACACTTCTAAGCAAATACAATTCATCAATAGGTCAAAGTTCCTGCATTAAATGATAAAACATGTTTAGCAAACATCTGAAGATAAATGATCCTCTAAGATGATAATCATCCACCTGCAGAACAAATGCTAGAACTGTGGAGCATCATTTATCCTCTAATATGGCTGCTAGGGACTTCTTTGTTGACAATCAAGATCTGGACAGCAAACGGTAGCATTGCCATTTTATTTTCTCATACATCATCTTCCAAACTTTAGGCAGAGGAACGCCTTCATGTTTGGAAGTCGGAGACATCAAGTAGGAATATCCCACATCTGACTTTGAATGGAACGCAGCATATGTCACAGATGCCAATGGTTTGAGATTCAGATGCAATATGTTATGGATGATTTTACCTTCAAAAGTTGTGAAATGTAGACTACCCTCCCTAGAACTCTTTTTAAAATATGTCACGTTACTTAAAATAACATTTAAGCACATGGTTACAGTTCAGGAGCAATATGTGATTGTCAAGACGTGTAAGGGCCGTCTATTCGGTCCTTTTTGAAAGTTCAAGTACATTTCATTGCATCTATCATCACTGCAAGGGAAGGGCAGGCACAGAATTATAAGAGCGTATGACGAAAAGAAGGAACCATTTGTGCCTCTGTTTGAGTGTCCTTTATCAGATTTGCGTATGCTTAGATGTTACGGTGCACTCGTATATTCAGTATATATTTCAATTGCTTTGCTCTAGTACTACTCATACTCGTAGTTCCATCCACAGTGGAGCTTTAAGGTAAGTCTGTTTACAATCATAAAATGCGCAAAATGATTTTCCGGCTTGTAATATTCGCTCACGCTCATATTTAACCAGTTCATATTTATCCTAGTGTGGCGTACGTCTGTCGCTGTTGAAGAGATTATCATAGACTCGCTCCTCAGGTAATTCCATAGGTAACAGGGACAGGGCCTGGAATAATTCAACCCCAGTCCAGGTTCTCCTACAGTTAAAGACACTCCCGCGGCTGTAATACTGTTCCTCGTGTATGTTACCGTAAACGCTCTGAACTCTTGCACAATGCCTTCACTACATGTCGTGTATAATCAGCTATCGTTTATAATCCATGCTAAGTTTAGTAGGACCTACTGCAGGACACGAACAATTAGATTTAACGCAAGAAGGAAAATGAGAGCGAAACAATAAGTGGAGGGTTATGTCATTTTACGTTGCAGGATAGTTATGTATTCCAAATGTTTCCTTTGTTTCTTTTAGATATTCCGGCGTGTGTTTGGTGACTTCCCAATATTACCCAGAAGCTGTCATCCATGTCTGTGACTGTTTGTGTTATTCTTTGTGGTTTTGTATTCAAACCATGTCTGATTGTTTCATTTAAATGGATCTGGTGTACAAGTCGGCATTTATAATTACGGTTTGAGGCAAAGGCGGGATCTAAATACTGTGCAATATAAGATGAAGATGAAGTTTTATCATGCAATTCAATGTCTAAGCTCAAATCACACAGGAAGTGCACCATCACCCCTGATGATGAGCAAATGAATGTGAATGTAATCTAATTAGAAATGTCAAATCTTACTGGCCGACCGTCTTTGCATTGGAAATGTGCAAAATTCAGTGGAATGGATTTAAATAAGGCATGATGTGTTAAATGGAGATGGAAGTGCTTTGCTTAGTAATATCAGCATAGTAACATTAGCCAAAATATATAATAAATGAACACAGAAGAGCAAGGGATATGTAAAAATTGGCTGGAAATTCCATGTTGGCTTTTTTTTTTTACTGGCTACATTCACATGACAGAATACAATAAAACATATGAAGTTTGAACGCATCTTTAAGAATTACATTTTTGTTCTAAAATGTTTGACATTTTGAAACATTCTGAAAGATTTAATTCTGTGATTTGGTTATTTTCCTCCCGAACACTGAACAGCCGGTCTTATTCTATGGTTATACTTTTTTTTTTTTTTTTATACAGGACTGACATCCATATTGTGTTGCTGTGTGAATGTAGCCACTATCTGAAGCTGTCATCAGACTGTAAAAGCCAAATGTGAGGGTTGAGGACATCTTGTTGCAATACATTTAATGTGGCATTTGTATTTAGTATATGTGACCTTGGACCACAGAACCAGTCATAAGGGTACATTTTTGGAAATTGAGATGTATGCATCACCTGAAAGCTATTACTAGATATTAATAGATATTACTAATCAAAAATTACGTTTTAATATATTTACAATAGGAAATTTACTAAATATCTTCATGGAACATGATCTTAATATCCTAAGGACTTTATACAAGAAAAATCAATAATTTTGACCCATACAATGTATTTTTGGCTATTGCTACAAATATACCCCAGTGAATTAAGACTGGTTTTGTGCTCCAGGGTCACATATAAAGATCAGGGGCCAATGAGACTTTATTATCAACTGTCATGCTACCAATGGGAAATCAAATTGTGACCTCTGACACAGTTTGTTTTTGTCACTTTTCAGACTCACTTGTGCGATCATCTACAGTGTCTTCTCTTCTGATCGTGTCCACATGTATGACTCAAATATGATCGGAGAATCAAGCATAACACATGTAGCATTATCTGTGTGAGTAGTGTTAGACGTCAGTAGAAATTCTACTGTAGAATGTACCATAAGAAAGGCCATTTCCTGTTCCTTCTGGAGGAAGTCAGTAGATTCCCATTTGAAGCACTGGTGAAAGTTCATTACAGATCTTACTGCCGCATGCCCTCCTAGCTACTATTGCTGCGTTATACTTTAAATATTGAGAGTACATGGGTAAATCTCACAAAAACTTAACCAGGTCATTTCATTCTAAAATATTTAGGAAAAAATAAATATGTGATAGGATATGGAAAATTGAGCCTGTTTTAGAATTATTATTTTTTTTTGCCATTTTGCCATTTTCGTGACAATTAAGAGTGCTTTATTATTATTTTCATGTTTCATATTTTTGTTTTACTATTTACAATTCTCATTTTACTTGACATTGACTGTCACTTCTGTAATACAGAAAAAAATAATATAATACAATAACTTAGTATAACAAAGCACTAGTTAAAGGTGGAGTAAGCGATTTTTCAAAAACGCTTTAGAAAACTGATTCGGGCCGACTAGCAAAACAAACTTGTAGCCAATCAGTAGTAAGGGGCGTGTCTACTCATGATGTGGAGGAGAGAGCGTTCAGTGCACAAGACGGACATTAGCCGAGCCGAGCGACAGAAAGATAGAGATCGCAGATAAAAAACAAAAGAGGAAAACGTCTGCGGAACAAAAGAAGGCTTAAGGCAATACGGCAAGAAGTAGGACCCGTGTAAATATCGAATTTCCAGCGCTGGAGAGAACTCAAGGAGCGGAAGGCCTGCGGTCGGACGCCGAGGTTGCTTTGTTTCTTCTCGATAGGTGAGTAACACCGTGTCTGTGCCGCATTGCGTACGTATGTGTGGAGCTATCAAAATAGGGGCGAGACCCTTTTGGGGTAGGGGTGTGTTTGTTTTGGTGATTTCAAATGTCAACATTTGCTAGCAGAAATCGCTTACCCCACCTTTAAAGGCATGACACACTTTATCATGTAGATTGCTATTTTTTTATTTTGTATTTATTTTTTGGCATTAATGGGAATGTGGTAGGAAAATGTACTTGTAAATTTCAAACTTTATGTTTTTTATTTAAATGTATTGAACGTTTTTTGTTATTGATTCACCTGTGCATTTAATAAAATACAACAACAAATCCCTTGACCAAACCTGGAGATTCATCTGTGAAAGACCAGTCGCATCACTGCTGAAGAATGTCGGTGAGTGTTGATTTGATCATTTGCGGGGGACGCAGATCTGATCGGCTGTTCTGCCGTATGTAAAACGTTCAGACCAGAGAGAGAGTTTCTGTTTTTGTTTTGTTTTTTCGTTTATTTGTTTGTTTGTTTTTTAGATATACCGGTGCACAAGTGAGAGAGCAACTTGTAGTGCTGGATGTTGTATATTCTCTGTCATGTAATGAACTATTTTAGAGGAAAAATATATTTGAAATATGACTCCAAGATGTATAAATAAATAACCATGAAAGAGCCGCATTGTGTGGTTGTGTTCCTAAAACTTGCTCACTAGAGCTGCCATAAATGCTTAGATTATGCAGCGTTGTTATGGCCTGAAGAATCTGTTACAAACATGATGCTTAAAAGACATCACGCCACATCTGTTAATCAAGAGTTTGTTCACATGTGCCACAGGGGCCATTAACACTGACGACCCTGAAGAAGCTCCAAATTTACACCAGATGCACTTTGCACATGGAAACCATTACTGAAAATGGAAATATTTAGAAAAAAGCACACATAGCGGACATATTTTTTGTAAAAGGATCATTTTTTGGTACTTGCATCTTAAATATGGTGATTAATCATTTTGAATCTTTGTGCGATTCATTAATCTTCAATTTATGAACAGCAAATATTTTTCACAGAATTCTTCTAGCATCAAATGATCTGTGCTATTCACATTTAATTGTATAAATCAAGGCTCTCAATTATAGCCTAAAGACTCGTTCTCTCTCTCTGTCTATATATTAGTGCTGTCAATCGCGATTAATCGCATCCAAAATAAAAGTTTTTGTTTACATAATGTGTGTACTGTGTATATTTATTATG